CATAACATCCAGTGTTATTATGTTCCAGTTGCAGAATGTGCTTTGCAGCAAGTTCAGCAACAACTATGTCGTTATTGTTCATACTTGCAGCTAGTAAAGAACCCCATATCCTTGCTGTTGGGACCAAAGGCATTTCTTCGATGAAACTCTTGGCATCATCAAGATCGCCAACACGGCCAAGGAGATCGAGCATACAACCATAATGTTCTATTCCTGGGTCAATACCATAATCTCTTTTCATTGAATTGAAGTATGCCCATCCTTCATTGACCAAACCAGAAATGCTACAAGACAATAATAGGGAAACAAAAGTACTCCCATTGGGTTGAATACCCTTTTCCCTCATCTCAAGAAATAACTGGATAGAGATTCTTCCAAACCCATGGATGGCATGAGCCATAATGATCGTGTTCCAGGAAATAACATCTTTAAACAATATGTCATCAAAAAGTTTTACCGCAGTTTGGAGATCCCCACACTTGGCATACATGTAGACGATCGAGTTTGAGATTATTGTGTTCAAATTAAATCCCAATTTAATCACATAAGCATGAATTTGCATACACTCGTTCAATGAGGCTAACTCTGCACAGGCTGGCACAATGGTAGCAATTGTAGTTGCATCTGGTTTGAGAAGCTTATTCCAGAGGTCTTCAAACAATGCCAAGGCTTGCTTGTTCTGACCATTCTGTACATAAGCAGCAACCATAGCATTCCATGATACCAAGTTCTTCTCCATCATTTTAAAAAATATACTCTCGGCCAAGCTAAACTCCCCACACTGTCCATACATGTCAATTAAAGCAGTTTCCAAGACAACATGAGGCAGAAAACCTTTTCTAATGGCATAGCCATGAACAGCTTTTCCCATTGACAGAACTCCAATCTGGGCACAAGCAGGCAGGAAATTTATCAAAGTGATAGTATCAGGATTCAATTCTTTATCATCATCCAACATGCTCTTCAAACATGAAAATGCATCAAGGATATGGCCATTCAGACAATAACCAGCTATCAAAGCATTCCAGGCCACAATATTTCTTGACAAAATTCCATTGAATATCCTCTCCGCATAACCCATTTTGCCACATTTACTATACATATCAATAAGGGATGTTTGAATCATGTTGTCCGTTTCAAGCCCATTTCTAATCGCTTGGCCATGAATTTCCTTGCCACTTTGCAGAGAAAACTCAAGAGAAGAAGCGCCCAGAGAGCTGATCAAACTGAACTTATCGGGTCTAATTCCAGAATCCAGCATTTCTCTAAAATACATCAATGAACCTGAACCATCACCAAGCATTTTATACCCACTTATCATAGAATTCCAAGAAACCAAGTCTCTCAATGGCATTTCTTCAAACACCTTCTGTGCATCCTCAACACATCCAAGTTTCATGTACATAGAAATCAGAGAATTGCAAACGTAAACATCCAAATTCAACCCAAGCTTAAACAATTTTGCATGAAGCTTTTCTCCTTCCACCAATGACAAAAGACCAGCACATGCCTTGATGACGAATGGGTACGTAAAGTTATCGGTGCAAACTCCTTCAAACACCATTCTATAATAGAAATCCAAAGCTTCCTGCAATAACCCATTATTGGTAAACCCTCTGATCATAACATTCCATACGTAGCTATCCGGGCAGTTCATTTGTTGAAACAGATAGAGGGCGTTTTCCATAGACCTAGATTCAACAAAAGCAGAGAGAGCACGAGTAAGCGTGAGGTTTTGGGGTTTAACTGAAGTTTTTGAGGTTCTCGGTGTGTTTCTGCGGAAGCGAGCTGGTTTTGAGATTCTTGGTTTGGTTACAAGTTGAGGGCTCTGATTCACCTTTGGCCTCTGGAGTTGCTTGGAAGAAACTTTCGGGTCGGAGTTGCAGAAATGGCCGTGAACTAGTAGGGTCGCAGCCATTTGTGGGTAGTTTCAAGAGCGAAATGATTATTAATTAGGAGATATAGAAGTTAGTTAGTTAGTATTTAATTCTCAATTGTTGAGCTTGAAATTCCATTAAACCTGTTTTTAAGATGGAATTTGAGCATTTGGCCATTCTTTTTTCTTTTTTTTTTTCTTTCCTTTTTTGGTTGCTACGTAAGTGGCAATCTTGTAATTTAGAACAAAAAGAATATATATATATATTTTTTTCTGTAGTAAGTGAAAAATTAGACATATATATATAGTGGAATATGCTGATAAATTAGATTATTAATAATAACAAAACTGAACAAAAATAAAAAGATGATCAAAACTCTTCGGGAATGCTCTGGAGAGCGGGAATCCAAGAACACCGCCGTGTTCGTGCAGTCTCCTTTATCCCTCTGGCTCTCAGAAGGTGCTTCTTCCGCAGAAAATTCAATCGCTGTTCAACACTCGACAAAGAATCTGATGATGACGGAAATGGAGGTTGATTATGAGGACGAGAAATATTGTTAATGTTAGAATTGCCATGATCATGATCATGATCATCACTGGCTCTTATCGCCTCTAACATTTGCTTCAGATCTTTCTTCTTTACCAAAATCTTCATCCTCACAACTCCATCCCCAGCATCGTGTTCTCCGGCATTCTCAATTTCTGCAACTGCTTCAGCTCTCAACAAGCTGCTTCTCACCAGCTTTCTCTGCTTCCGACTTCTGCTTAATCGCCAGATTTCTGATCTCTTCGGTGACGAGGCCCTGCTTTCTGCAAGGTAACTTTTCTTCATAAATTCCATTCTCGATCTATAAGCTCTCGTCCTTCGTCAATTCGTAGTCTGTCTTCTGTATTGATTTTTGTTAATTCCTTCAACGGACACCCTTTCTCTTACATACATACATATATATATGGTATATATATAATTAAAAATGATTTTTAATTAAATAATAATAACAAAGTATTTGATTTTGAATTATTTAACGGGCGCACCGACGTCCGCCATTGGAGTCAAATACATATATGAAACAAAAAGTCTTTAGAGTTTAGCAAACAAACTCAGTGATACATGATGAAGGCTAACTAAATTCACCTACTCTCTCACATGCACAACCTGTACTTCCAATCATGCTGGAATATCGCCGCGTAATACCAGGACTCTTATAATTTAATTAACTAAACCTGTTTTTATATTTTAACACGTAATTGTATTATCTTTATATCTACCTTTTTATTTAATTTTATATAATTAATATACAATCTGGATTACAAGCAATTAATGTATGTGTGAACGAACAATCAGGTGGCCGTGTGGGTTAGGTGAATGCCATTCAACTCCTGAACTCATTATTAATTAGTTTCTTTTTTTTAAAAAAAAAAATCTCCCCTCCGGTTAGCTGCAAAATTGCATTTCTGAGCTGGTTATAGGCTGTTTCTTTACATAGAATTCCTCTGGACAAACTTTAAAAACTTTATTTTTTAAAAAAGAAAATCAAGTATATATATATATATACAAGTTTTGTATCAATTTATTGGGGATTTTTCTTAATGGAATTAGATAACAAGCAAGAAAACAAAAATAAAGATTTAATAATCCAATTTTTCTTTTTCGTTTATTATTTGGGCTTTTGTTAAAAGTAACTTTTATGGTGTTCATATGAAATCCAGAATATATAAATTCAAATCACACACAAAACCCAAGGAGCTAAACTAAAACATAAAGAGTAGAGACAGACTGCATGGGAAACTGACAAACCCACAAGTATTTTAAGTTCCAATACGCAGTTTGGGCCAGTCCAGAAGCCAATCCAACTTTTATCTCCTACTTAAAAGGTTAAAAAAAAAAAAAAAAAAAAAAAGAAAAGAAAAAATAAAAAACCATTAATGCAACTTGGTTGGTACTTTTCATTTGGAAAGTGAGATATTGTTCTCTAAAATATTCTTTATTTTAGAGGGATAATAAATTTCAGATCAAATTGCGTTTTGATTAAAAAAAATTTAATTTAATGGAATGTTTATTTTGTTCAAATAGGATATAATTTATTAGAATTAACATGATTATAATAATTTTATTAACATATTAATAAATTAAATTATTGATTTTATTAAATTAAATAATTTTTAAACTTTATTTTCAACTCACGTAGAATATAAAAATTTCTTGTACATTAGTATATGTATACTTTTAATGTTTATACGGTCTCTCCTGCCAAATACCAATACGTACACATATTATAAAAATAAAAACTAACTGAAAAGTATATCAAATGGAACAGAAAAAAGATCTGCAGAAATGTTCTTTTTTTTTTTTTTTTAAAAAAAAAATATGATTCCCTAATTTTTATGGCGAATAAAAAAGGAAACCACTTAGTGAGTGGGAAGGTTGTTGGCGAAGTTGACGAATGTGTTTATCGTGTATGGAGATGGGCTTGCAAGTATAACTATAAAATTATATTGTAAAATGTTATTGTTCCATCAACTTATATTATGTATCTTTCAACTTATCCAAAATAGACATTAATTTTAATTTCTATAAGTTAACCCTCTCCAAAACACATTAATTTCGAAGATTCATCTCATCTCAAAACCAACCCCTATTACTTATTATCTCCTTTTCTCAAATTTCTAAAACTCTCTACTTTTTATTTTTGTTACATTTGATTAATTAAATTTCATATTTGTTTATTTTCATGACACCACTTGAGATTTATATTTACATTTTTTATTTTTAATATTAATATTAATATTAATTTCCATAAGAAAATCCTAGATTTTGAAACATTTCTATTAAACAAACATTAAGTACATACTTATAATGGACAGAATCATATTAATTTGACCTTTTAAGCTGATTGAAAAAAAAAAAAAACAACTAAATCCTGAATTGGGTGAATGAAATTAAATTATTTTGATAATAATTTGAGACGTAAACAATTGTATTTTTCCTCTCAAAATATCAGCATATGTATACATACAAGTAGTGACAGTTCCCATCGCTAAAAAGTAATGGTAGCCGAATTGATTAATTTTGTTGTGTACATATTATTGATCACTGATATTTCGACAATTTCATTACATATAAAATATTTATATATGTTTGGATTTTTCTATTAGTAGGAATATTCTCTACGCTAGCAAATAAAATTAAAATTGATAGCATGGAAAACAAATCAATACAAACAAAATACAGCTTATAAAAGATCCAATAAAAAAAATTCATATATTGATAGAGTCAGTTAGATCACTTGTAATATTCTTAATTAATTTTGAAGTGTTTAAAATTAGTGTATAAATATAATTTTTGATTTTTTTATTTTATGTATAAAATTTAATTTTTAATTTTATAAATTACTAATTAATGTAAAAATGAAAAAAAAATTAAATAGAAAGATGAAATTGAAAATAATTTTGAAAAAAAAAAAGTGAAAATTTAAGTTCTGAGGATATTTTTGAAAAAAAATTCAGAAATTAAGGGTCGAAACACAATTTACGAAAAATGTACCACGTAGGATGCCTAGTCAGCAGCCCCGACGAACCGTAGGACGCAGCGTGGCAAGGCACGCTGACGCGATGCCACGTGGGCGATCCACGTGCCCGCGCGCACAGACGGTTTAGATATGTTCCCTCATCAGACGCGATCGGACGGCCACGATTAAACGGGATGAATGGTTCAGACCTACTTCCTATTTAAACGCAATAGGACGGTCCAGATCAAATCGCGATGGATGGTACAGATTCATTCCCTACTTAATCACGATCGGACGGTACAGATCGAACACGATAGACAGTTCAGATTAAAAGGGGACGGATATAAATAACTCTCTTCACACCAAACCCTAACTCTGGTTGCTAGACACCCCCGCCGGAGAAGAAGAGCCAGCCGTCGGGAAGGAAGCTGCCCACCGACTACCGCCACGCCGGAGCCACTTCCGACCGCCAAAAGAGGTAGAAAAAATTTTCTTTACTCGAAATTTGATTTTAAACACTCCCATGGAAAAATCAGAGTAAAAGGACAAGCGGATTGGCCAGAAACCACAAGCAAAGCCCGACGGCACCGCCGCGGGAAAATACAAAAAAAAGCCTCCGATGAGGCCCTTCCCGATTCCCATTATGCGTAATTCTTCTACCATTGTAATCAACATTTCCTTCTCTGCAGGTTGACCGAAGCAAAACACCCAACCGCAAAGATGAGTCGGCGAAGCCGCTACACGAGAGAACCCCATCGCTGGTGAATTTCGATTTTTTAATTTTTTTTGGGCCAACTAAGGCCCCTTAACGTATTTTCTTATAGGAATTGATACAAAACCGACCGAATTCAGTCGAAAACGGCCGAAAATAGCCGACTCGAGGCAAACCACCGCCACGGGCAGTGGT